TAATATCGTTTATTGCTACTTCAGGAAAATATTTACTGCTACTATTTGAAGTATTCAACTGCTACATTGAAACATTTAAATACCAATGACTGTACTACTGCTATCAAACTTTTTATTTTTTATCTATAACTACTGCTACCAAAATCTAAAGGTAGCAGTAGTAATAGTAAATGATTTGCTGCTAGTTTTTGAACATTTTCTAACTATAAAAGTAGTTATTTTTCGTTACTACAGGTACTTGTAGTCTAGTTTTTTAAACACTGCCCATTTACTGGCTTAAAAATAAGAGTCTAGCGCTGAAATTAAATATAAGTAAGTTTCTTACGAGCAAAAATCTATTTACCGAATTTTATGAGGATCGATTCATATGCACCTAGAAATTTTACTGTATACTATGGCAGACATCGGGTCATATACGACCCTAGCCTCCGTAAAAGGTTCTAAAATACTGATAATTGAACTAAAAATACTAGTAAAACAATGAAATTTAACACAAAATATTTTTATAGGAACCTAGACCAAATTTTCTGACAATCGGTCCATAACTGACCTTACCTATCATATAAGGTCCCCTTCAAATAATTACATTAGCGCTCGTTACAGGCTTAAAAATAAGTATCTGTATAGCAATGAAATTCGACAAAAACAAGTTTTATAGGAACCTAAATTTTACTTTAAAATTGTATGAGAATTGGTCCATAATTGACCTTACCTCCCATATTAGGTTCACTTCCAAAAAAAAAAAAAATCCTTCAAAGCTCATTACTGTCTTAAAATATCTTTATAGCAATGAAATTCGACACAAACATATTTTATTGGATTTGGTCATAAAAGAAATGGCCTAAGCTTTCTTTTGAGAAAAAACAACAAAAACGTCCATTTAAAAAGAAATAGGGGAAAATGAAGTGCCAAATATTGAAAAAATCTTATTATTGATGTAAAATTTTTTTTCATAGATATCCCACTCGCACCCCATTATGGGCCTATGGAAAGGAAATTGTATAAGCTTTCATTGCGCAAAACAAAAAAAGGAGTTTTTTGAAATCAATGAAGAAATAGCTATCTGAACTCCTTTGAACAATTTTTGCTAGGACCAATAGGTGAAAAGTTACACTCATTTAAAAAATTACCAAAAAGTCCAACTTTGACCCCCCTAAGTCCTGCAGTTCTTGAACGATAGATCTGAAAATGTGTGTCTGACCTACTACCAATAGTACTAACCATGGTACTATTGGGTCACTTAACACAAAATTGCCCTTATGTATGTCAATACATTTTAGTACATTCCAAAACTTGTTTAATTGTTGTATTCCATATTCCAAAACAAAACTCAAACAAAAACATTTATTGAATCAGTAAAAATATTTATTGAAAATCAGATTTATTTCATTGAAGCGCTTGTTAGAAAATATTTTCTTTCTGTGTTAAAATCAAACAAATTCGTTTAAAAACCAAATAAAAATATTTATAAAAATCTAAATTAAATTTAAACAAACGATTTTTAAAAAAACTGTGCATATTTTTTTCTGTGTTCCCCATTATGTAAAATAGAAAAAAATATTCAAAATTTTTCAAATATTTTTTCAATTTTATTAATTTTAAAACAAGTTTATTGCTAGATTTAAAGGAAATAATAACGCCCATGTGATGATAACCGCATTTCGCCTAACATTGTCGATTGTGAAATCAAATCGGAAAAAATATGTGTGCTATGGATCGCAATCGCAAGAAGTTTGGCTATTCGAAATCACAAACATTTATTAAAATGAACTAATGATTTTTGCTTAATCTGCAATTTTAAAAGCTAATCAAATGATTTAAAAATTAAATCAGACATGTTTTCTTCTAACAGGTGGCGCAAAAGTAATCCTCCTATCAGAAAACGCTATAAATTTTGCGAGGCCCCTAATGTCAGTTCTGTTTTGACATTCGTGTAGTAAACACCTGCGAAATACACGTTAATAAATTCATAATTTTTTATTGTTATCTTTTGTATTGACGATTTTCCTTTTTATTTTGTGGCACAAAACATATGTTTCATTATTTCTTGGATTTTTCTCATAACTTTTTCAATTGTTTTTGTTTGTATTGACGATTTTCGAAAACGACTTAAAAAAATTACTAAACGCAAAGAAAACGCGCGAACTCCATCACATACTTAAATTAATTTTTGCAATTTTCAAAACGTATGCGATATGATAACCGTGCGATTATCGGCGTTGTGGAAATTACAAACGGAATGACAAACTTATATATACCCTTCTCAAGATGAAGGGTATAATAATTTACTTATAAACACTAGTATCGCGATAAAATTCTGACCCAACAAAGTATATACATATGTACATATATTCTTGGATCTTATAAAATTCTGAGCTATGTCCGTCCGTCAAATCTGTGCAATATAACTCCATGAAAATCATCACACATTTGTTTCTATATCGGAACTTTATTCCTGTTAAAAATTGGCGGAATCGGTCCACAATTTCATATACTTCCCATACAAATGTATATATTCCCGGAAAATGAGTTTATTGTTAATAATTTACGTTCGAATATCGATATCTTCACAAAATTTTACAAATTAAAGTTTTATGTCAGTATAATTCATTCAGAGAAAAAAATTCTGGTTCGGTCCATAATTAGCCATAGCTCCCATACAAGGTCCCCTTCAGAAAATCACATAAACGTTCTATATTACTCATTACCCAATAATGATATCCTTATACAAAAATGTTATTTCAAGATTTGTTTCACGATCGGTTCATAATTGGTCGTAGCTCCCATACAAAGTCCCCGAAAATCACTTATACACACATTACTTATTACTCAATAACGATATAGATACAGAATTTGACTGAATATAGATAGCTTTTATATTTCATAGCTCCCATACTAGGTTCCGAAAACCTTATATATGTATTTTTTATGCTACAATAGAATTTAGTAATAAATTTATCCACATTAATTTTACCGGGTCTTGGCTGTTAATGACGTCAATATTTAACAAGCTGGATCAAAGGATAAAATGTCCTTTTTTAAGGTTTAAGGTTTAAAGTACAATTTTTTATACTTAATATAGAATTTTTTGTTTTATTTCTGTTATTCCTCTAATTATATAGAGCATTATTTAAATAGTGTTTTTTCGAATTTTTGAACTTTGGTGTTAAATTGTTCCCAAGTGCCTTAAAGGGTTAATCTTTTTTCACTCTATTTTAAATATCGGATTATATACGATAAATTACAGTAATTTTTGGTAAATAAGGCCGACAAATAAGTATTATTTCGATATGGTACACTAAAAATTCCCAAATACTGCAAAATTTGTCCTTTGAACTCCACAATTTATGGGTTATGAATGTCCGATTGTAATAAACCATCGCATATATGTATATTTTATATTATCTGGACTATAATACTCTGAAAATACTTTATTTAAAATGTACATTAGTAAAGAGTTAATACGTATTCTCTTAAATGTTAAAAAAAGCGATTTTCCCGAAATCCGTCGAGCTCACATCGCGAGTACACATGCTTTCGTTCGTTATTTTCCAAAAATTATTTTACTAAAAAAGTATACTATTTTCTATAATACAAATGCAAAAATGTTGGCAAACATATTTATTTTTCTCATATAGAAAAAGTAAAATTTATACAAAACTTCAGAGTCTTTAGTGCGGGAACTTTTTTCACGATCGCGAAAAAATAATATCATATTCCTTAACATGTGGTATGTTTTGATATTGATAATACGAAAAAACTTATATCCACAAACTTGTTTTATCAAGAATTGGTTCTTCGTACAGCTGAAGATATTCCATACATTATTACATTGTAATATCGATGGAACACGCCGGCGGTGCATGGTTAACGCAGGGGATTTACGAAATGAGAGTCTTAAGATTTGAAAATATTGTAATGAAAAAATAATGCACTATATATGTCAACGTAGTTTTTAATTTTAATTAAATATAGGAAATATAATTATAATGGCATCAAAATGCATACGACGCATAATAAGCTATATATTTGAAAACAGATTTTTGTGACCTTTGACCGCCAATATCTCGCTAAGGTGGAAGTACACAACACGCGTTGAGGCGGCAACGCGTTTTACGCTTTTCAAACTTTTCGCGCTTTACAAGCTGCAAGTTACACACCACGCGTCATTTTGATCTTTCTTTTAATGTTTTTTAATACTATTACTGTTTTAAAAATCAAAAGTTTTTGTTTATTTTTTAATATTTTTCTTTCATTATTGGTGAAGTTTATTTCATTTGAGTTTATTCTTATTCTACACAAAACAAAATACAACCTTGATCAGCTGCCGATGCGTCAAAAGTTCGAAGTTGCTAAACTTTTCGCGGTAGACGCGTTACAAATTACATTGTGTAACTTGTTAAATGAAAATACACTATTTCACGCGTACAACGCGTGTTGTGTACTTTCATCTTTAGCGCATACCTTATTTATCGTGACATTTAATACCTTTTTAATAATGGTAAGGAGAAGAAAGTCCTATTAAGTATTTATGCAATTTCACACTCTCCAATCAATTTCTGGATCGGGTTCCCGTTATCCAATTTAACCAAATATTTACATCAGATACTAATAAACCAAATATGATCCTGAGCAAAATCGATATTTTTTGACACTTCTAATGTACTACATACATATGTAGTATATTAATGTAATGGAATTTTTTAAATTGTATATATCTTTTTTAATTAGTAATACAATTGGCGTAATTCTTTTTATAAAATTTAATTTTTTTCTCTCGTTTCTAAAAGTATTGAAATGATTTTGCATTTTAAATGAATATATTCAAACAGTGAGTTTAATATCATTAAAACTATAATGTTCGATATGATTGCCGTCGCTGATATAGGATTGACATTTCGTCCAAATTTTTGGATTTTCTATTCCGTTATACCATAAAATTATAAAGAAATAATTTGATAAAACAAAAAACAGGAGGAGACCGTTTTGCAAGTACTTACCGAAGGATTTGGCATACATCTCCTCATTTGTTCTGAACTTCGATATGATGGACTATATCGACCTGGAAAACAACTGGGTGCTGACATTTTCATTTTATCCGTCGATGAATACATCGACATGGTCATGCAGCCACCCACAAAATCTTCCTCCAATTTGAACGCCCTTGAGGCGTCAAAAGTCGTTGGCGAATAAATTTTGAAGCACTTTAATTAAAATTTAAACACAAATCCTGCTTTTAAGCAGGACACAAACTGAATACAAAAAAACTAAAATCAAATTAATTAATATTTCCTTCAAATGGATTGTAATTATTTGCTTATTTTTGCAACTTTATTGTTGCTTTTTATTAATTTATTTTTTTGTTTTATATATATATTTTTTTTAATTTTATTGCACACTGAATTTACTTTCTTATATTTATTAATGCACAATTATCGGACGAAAGAAACGTATGCGAATTGTAATTGTAATTGCGAATTGTTATCGTTGTCGTTGTTGCAATCGAATTTTAAATTTGATTTACGAGTAATTCGCACGTGTGTGTGTGTTTGTTTTAGAGCGATATAGTAGTTAGAGTACGTGTGTATAGTTTGTATAGTTATTTTGATTTAGATCTAATCGAAATCATTTGTATATTAAACTTTAATTATTATAAATTGATCACAATTGATAATGCAAATAACAAATACTAATAAACTATGAATTACAAATAGGATTTATAAATTATAAAGTAGGTTGGTTATTTGGTTGTTTGTTTGGTTGACTGACTGACTGAATGACTGGCTGGCTGGTTGATAAGTTAGTTAGTTAGTTGGATAGATAGATAGTTGAGTTTAACTTTAACACGCACTGTTATGGGTATAATTATGTATTATTATATTATTTTATCTCAAGTAGTATTTGGCTCACGAATTGTTGAAGTAAGTATCTCTGCTATTGTTTAAACTAAACGGACCCGAACAGATTTCACAGCTAGACAACAACCGTGTGATAAAGAATTCTATGATGAGTTTTACTAACTCCAGTTTATTTTGGGGAGGACATGTTTCCATAATTTATGAGAGGCGTGTTCTGCCATAAGAACCACCCTTCAAAAATGGCCGAGAAATACGTCAAGTACTTTTCGTTGCCTTTGACTCACTTGTCATTGGTTCATTTAAGATTTGGCTCCTTCGCCGGAATAAGGAGTAAGAGGGTGGTTGAGTGCGATTAACTATTAAAGCTTTTCTATTATGTATAACAAACGCTATAAAGTTTTATCACAAGAGCAGCAAAAGCTCTATTTTCTAGAATCTGTCATAGAGAAGGAGAGAGTGAATGTGTGTAGTAACATTGCGCAGGTCCATAGTTGGTACGGTATAACATTTCAGGCTTACATTTCCAACAGTTGCCTTAGACAGACAATATTCACCATAACAGCAATCCTGCTGCTGCCTGCACATACATATACACACGGCCGTCGTGAAAAGGCTGAGAAGAGCTCGATATAAATATTTTTTAAAAACATTTTGGAGAATCTGGAATATACAAAGTTTTCATTTAGTTTAGTTTTTTTTTATTGTGAATTTTGTGACAAAACAAGTTATGCCAATGAATAGTTAATAAATAATTTAAAGCTGTTTAATTAACACACACACAGGGTTTCTTATCAAAGGGGTTGATGCAGTAATTCATTTAACTCCTTTATAAAAGATATAGTTTGCCTTTAAAATGTCCTAAATTTGTCTAATTTATACGTTGTGCATGTTGTAGAACTAAAATACAAATGATATAAACTATTGCGAACTTCTGTTTATTACAGAAGTTAATTAAGACAAAAAACGTTAAAATTTTTTTAATCTTTAAAACTTCTTAATATAGAAGCAAACGTAATATAAAGGATATATTAAGTAACATCGTTTTCACTTTTAATAATTTTTTGTTTTTCACACATACATATGTATGTGTGTATGTATGTACATTAGGGCGGCCTCATAATGTAAGTTGCTTATGTTTTCATCGAATTCAATATTGGATAAGCTGGACGAATAAATAAGCAGGTCCTTTTTTATATTTTTTTTACAATGTAACTACAGTGAACTCTCTATAATATGAACTAGTTATTATCGGGGCAGTTCATATTTTCAAATGTTTGTTACTAAGATATTCTGCCTAAAAACTATTTCAACATGGAAAACGCAAAAACATTTTCTAATTTATTTGCGATATAAAAGTCAAGTGATCCAACTCAAAAAATCTATATCGGTTTTAAAAGTTGGGTCACTTGACACGAAATTACCTATATGTAAATTTAAAAAAAAAATTTTAAATTTCAAATCGATCCTATCCATTCCACATAGAGTATAAAAAAGTACGTCGAGTATATCACTTTTTTCCTAGCAATTCCGTGGCAAATGCCCTGAAGTTCTCTAAACAAGATTTTTACTTTTAATATAAAATCGAAAATTTTCGATATAAACAAGTGTCCGACGACATTTACGAGGAGAAAAAGTATACATATATAGGACCTCTTCCAAATTTAGTACCCAAACTTGTATATTAACAATTAGGAAAGTATAATCGGACATATGATACTCTACCTAAGTTAGTATGTTAAAAATGACATAAAAGAAATTTTTTACAGAAGGGCTCAAATGGGGGTAGAAGTAAATATGGGCCTATCTTTATAAATTTTGGTAGAGGAATTTACGTCTACTTTAAAGTTATTTATGTAGAATTAAATCGTGTTATTAGTGTTTATAAGTGAATTTTGACCTTCAAGTTTGGGCTAGGGTCAAATAAGCCCGATCATTACAAAAATTGGCAGTGTCCTTTAAATTTCAATGAAACTAAGTTTCGCTGACATAATAGAACATTTAACATAATTATGAGCCCAAAAGCTAAATCGACTCAGAAAGTGATTCTGAGCCGATTGGTATACTTTAAGGTGGGACCAATAGGTAGGACCAATATTTTTGGGTGTTACAATCATCAGCACAAAGCATAATACCATCCCCACTATAGTGGTGTAGGGTATAAATATATTGAATTTTTGGTTAGTTAGGTCCGTTACTGGCTAGCGCGTAGTGATAGGACCTAATTTTTTATTTTAAAACAATCAGAAGAACATTATATTCCGGATCTTCTTCATCAATTTCCTTTGAATATGGCTTCCAGCAGTTAGATAAAGTTTCTTTAGATCTCGGTTCCAGGATGTCTCTAGATTCTAGAGCGAGGGATTCCCAAACTTAAAAATAATTGCTTTTAACAAATTATGAATTTCCAAAAATTTAAAAAAATCACTATTTAGTGCCATTAAACATATAGATTAAAATGTGTGTGTTTTTTTTTTGCTTACATTATTAATATTAATTCAGACTTGTATTATATCTCAAGTCTTTTCTAATGCTCATCTCATCCATTTTTTTTTTTGCTTACATCCATATTAATTCAGACTTGTATTATACCTCAAGTCTTTTCTAATGTTCATCTCATCCATTAGTAAGACCATATGCTTCGCATTTCTGTCATCCAACTGGGCGCATTTTTGCTTCACGGATGCAAAAGCGTTATTTTTTAATCCTAGTTCAAGAAATTTAATTGGTGTTCACCGGTTTAAAGTGGAAACATGTGGCAAAGATAAATTTAATTTATTCCTTAAAAATATGTGGATTGAGGACTTGTAAAATATATGTACATATTTTGGACTAAATATTTAATGTCTTCAGAATATTTCTTTGGCCGAGAGGTCAACTGAAGCTTACAAAAGGTTTTGCTTTCTGGGCTACTTTTTTTTTAAATTGTCAATCGATTTACTAAACTTTCTTACAGATTTAGTGTGTCTCTTTAATATTAAAATTTCTCTACTTTTTTCTATTTTTTTTAGGAAATTTAAATATTTTTATCTGTAGTGATTTACTAGCTGCATTTGTTTTTCGCAATTTGTGCAAAAGGAGGCTTCGACATTTTTACATTCTATATTTTTTAGGAAGAAAAGGAACTCTAAGCTAAAATCTTGCGATTCCTCGTCTTTAATACATATCTTCAGTTGGAATGGCGTCCGCCTTTAATTTTTTCCTCCCAACGTATGAAATCGAAAAATGATTTTCGCATATGTAAAGATTTTTATCGAAATCCTTCTCAGGAATTCGACATTTCTCCCGCCAAATTTATCGTAGCGTCATGTCTGAAGAAGGAAATTTAAACATTTTTAAACCTTTAAAATGTCATTTCGATTTTTGGCATGTTTTCGCAACATTTAATTATTATTTATTTTGAGTTGTTTATTTATATCTATATATATATATAAAATTCTAACGTTACTGACTAGACTGACTGACTGATTCACTAAGTGATTCATCATCGCACAGCCTAAACGGTTGAAGCTAAAGAGCTGATATTTGGACAGGAGGTTGGTCTCCCGCCAAGTAGATCCACTAAGACGGGATTTTTGGAAATTCGAATGTTTAGGGGGTAAAAAAGGGTAAAAACGGGTAAATTCGGTAACCTTATATCTCCTAAACTAGAAAAGATACAAAAACAGTTTAAAGCTTATCGCCCCTTTAGGGAATAAACGGGTAAAAACTGTATTTTGGTACTTTTTTCGCACCCCATGTATCTTTTAAACCAGTGCACATTCAAAAAATATTTTTGACTCCTTTATAACTTAACGAAAAAAAAAAAATATGAATTTAGTACTTTTTGGATATTCGGACGTTTAAGGGGTTAAAATTGTACCTATTTTTGGTACTTTTTTCATAAAACATTGTTTTTGGTTTATTAACTTATACATATGAATACATAATAACGGGCTCCCACTACGATGTTGCAACTTTTTGGAATAGAATTTTTATTTCGTTAATGGGGAGGAAAAAAGTACCAAAAGGGGTAAAAACGGGAAATTTGATTTTATTCAACCAGAATGATCCAATTTAAATAAAATTTTTAAATTTAGAAACACTAAATATCCTAATGGGGTGTTATTTGGAACCCCGGTACCAAGTGATATTTTTTGGTACTTTTCATTCTCCAACTGGTCCTTTTTGAGTTTTCTATGATATTGAAATAGAAACATGAAATTAATAATAAAGGGACTTTTCGCTACTTTTTCGTTCTACACAGGTACTTTTTTGAGTTTTCTTTAAAATTAAACCTAGAAACATGAAATTAAGCATCTTGAGACCGGAGTAAATGAAAATCTATAAAAGGGGACTTTTTGGTACTTTTTCGTCCTTCGACTGGTACTTTTTGAGTTTTCTATAAAATTTAACCTAAAAACATGAAATTAAGCATGTAGAGCCCGGAGTAAATGAGAATCTATAAAAGGGGACTTTTTGGTACTTTTTCGTCCTTCGACTGGTACTTTTTGAGTTTTCTATAAAATTTAACCTAGAAACATGAATTTAAGCATGTAGAGCCCAGAGTAAATGAGAATCTATAATAGGGGACTTTTTGGTACTTTTTCGTCCTTCGACTGGTACTTTTTGAGTTTTCTATAAAATTTAACCTAGAAACATGAAATTAATCATGTAGAGCCCTTAGTAAATGAGAATCTATAAAAGGGGACTTTTTGGTACTTTTTCGTCTTTCGACTGGTACTTTTTGAGTTTTCTATCAAATTTAACCTAGAAGCATGAAATTAAGCATGTAGAGCCCGGAGTAAATGAGAATCTATAAAAGGGGACTTTTTGGTACTTTTTCGTCCTTCGACATGCGGAATCCTTAGTTAATGAGAATCTTTAAAAGGGGACTTTTTGGTACTTTTTCGTCCTTCGACTGGTACTTTTTGAGTTTTCTATAAAATTTAACCTAGAAACATAAAATTAAACATGTAGAGCCCAGAGTAAATGAGAATCTATAATAGGGGACTTTTTGGTACTTTTTCGTCCTTCGACTGGTACTTTTTGAGTTTTCTATCAAATTAAACCTAGAAACATGAAATTAAGCATGCAGAGCCCTTAGTTAATGAGAATATATAAAAGGGGACTTTTTG